TGTCATACAGGAGCCACCTCTTTTATTTTTCTGAATGTAGAAGAGTGTGTAAACTTCAGGGTTTGCTTATCTGATATTATGGGCCAAGGCTGTGCACAGAATTTTGTAGACTGGAGAAGGCAAGGCTGTGAAGCTAATGATTTCCAGCTGCTTGATCTACCCTCATTCCAGTCTTTGCCTATATTTGCAGTTAGTTGTTTTCCAAAGGACCATACCTACTTCTGAGAACTCCTGTGAGGCTGTCATTGTTTCTTACTTGACCTAGTCTGTGGGGAAGATGGATTTCAGCATTGATTCCTCTGTACCAAGGGAAAACTACTAGCTTTACAGCTTCAGGGAAAGGACAAGGCCCAGTTCAAATCCTCATCCCCATCTGCCTCTATAAACTTTTACCATGTTTGGGTTTATTTGGTGCATCACAGGTGGTGTTACAGTGCAGATATGGACACACCATAATTGATGGTGTGTTACTTGTTAATGTAATCATATAATCTGTTAATGTAACAACACTTGACAGATACCACCAATTTCTTTCCTAGGCATACCATGAGCCAGTTATCATTCATCTTATAATAAATGTGTTGTTTATAGTAAGAATTCAGACTTTTAAATATTCATATCTTGCCTTTTTGCTCTTGATCTGAAGAGTCTGTTTTGAAACACTGTGTCCTGCTTCCCTTGACAGAGCAGGCTAGGCTCCAGAATTTGCTGTTCATTCCTGGGTTTTCAGCTTCTGGGGGGCTGTTGTCTTATATCTGCTGCTGGACATAATTCTGGAGTTTTAGTCCTTAGGGAAGGCTCTGTCTTGACTTGGGTAATTGACAGTGCTGGAATCTTCCATTAGTGATTGTGAATTTTGTTGAAGAATTTCTCTGCAGATAACTATGGTAAACAACAGTTTGTTGTGTTTAAAACTAGTCACCCTGCAACAGCTTTAAGGAGGCTGTGCAACGGTTTCATCACCCAGAAGCTGCATATATGGGATATTATCAGATACAGTAACTGGTGGATTTGCCTCAGTCTTAACACCTGCATCCTGCTGTTCTTTATTTTACCTCCATTCTCTAAAAAAATCCTATCTTCATTCATGATCACTGTTTTGCTTCATGAATTATTCCAGTTAAATATGGCCACGGTTGTCAGATTGCCTCCAGCTATAGTTACTATCACAGTGTTCTCTATGCAACGAATTTGACCTTTAAAGCCCTCTTCTAACCACAGTTGTTGCTTCTAGTGTAACTGGGTTTGTGCTAGGCTGAGTTTTCTTCAGTATTAGAAAATCATGCTTTTTTAAGCAACGGTAACTTGGTGAAATAAGAGCACTGTTGAACAGTCTTAGCATGATTCATTAAACTACTGGTCTCCTAACAGCCTAGACCTCTCTTTAAAGCCAAACTCTGCTCTGGCTCTGTATTTATGCAAACATCTTTGACTGCATTACAGTTAGCACAGTCATTACTCACACAACTGCACTGAAAAAACCTTGACTACGAGATCGACTGACTTTTTCTCTTTTTAATCACAACTTTATATAAAACTGAATCTTAACTATATTAAACTAACAAAGTTAATCACGGCTTCAGTCTTTCTAATGAGATGCAGAATGTTTTCCCTGCTGCAAAAGGAGTATTTGCATGGGATAGTTGCAGCTGAAAATGATAGCAGTGTTTAGCTGCATTTTTAACTTTTGGGTTGGGTGTGGTCCCTTAAAAAAATAGTTATGAATAATGCCTGCTGGGAGCTTGCCATATTTCAATGGATTCCATATAAAACCTATTCTTTACTATTTTAAGACTCCCAAACTCTCTTCAATTAATCTGTTTCTAGAACAGTTATTGCCCTTCAGCCCCAGGAGCCAGAGGTCACAAATTTTGTATTGCTGTTTGTCCTGTTAGGAAGTACCTAGTTCAGGCAATTCTGAGAATACACGGTTACGAATCTGCAGGATAGGGAACAGGGGTGTTGCTGAGCTTGTCGGTGAATGGACAAGGGAGATGGGGCTTGAGCAGGGCTTCTTGAGACCTCATTTACGGTGTGGCTTAATGCTCTGCATGTGAGACCAGGAGGGGAAGAGCCATGTGAAAACCTGTTTACTTGTTTTGATTCTGTAGTGGGGCATGGAGACCGTGTGCTGGCACCCTGCAAACTTGTAGCCCTCTTTCTGTGGTGCAGTCAGAGGGGTTTTGATCTAACACAGAACGGGCATGCTTTTTGCTCAGCCGTCAACACCCAAACCATCAGAACAGCTGGGTTTTTGCAAATGTTAGAGCAGTAGTCGAACCTCAGAGATTTCCCCTCCCTTCCCTAGGGAACCTCTGGATTTATTTCCTTTATCCATTACTTCACACCTTCCTCTTTAAGATTCTACCTTTGCAAGTGTGCCTTTCCAGATCTTGTCAAATACAAGAAGCAATTCCTGTTGTTACACTGCAGCTGATTAGACTGATGGAGTGCGTTCTCAGGCTAGGGCTGAGAATCTGTTTCTGTAGTACTACCTGGTTTCCTCCCATCTAGCCTGAACATGTAAATCCATAACACTTGTGTGGAGTGTGGGTCTGAATGTGTCAAAATCAATCCAGGACTGTATGTACTCCTTCCTTTTTCAAAAATCTGTGTTTCCCCAGGTTATGCTGGAGATCCAGCTATGGAGCTCTGTTACGTAGCAGAATTTTATTTCGGAGAGATACAAATTTGTAGACTGACCCTAGGCTACAAAATGAACCTTCGCAGAAATAGAGCTGTAATATTTTTACTCTGCCATGTTGCATGCAAGCATACGGTCATATTGCTCTATATTAAAATTCCCAAACAGCACGCTGCACACATGCTGTGTCCTAGGCAGAGGAGAAAACGATGTGTGTCCTGTGCTAATATGCATCACTCACTGCTTTTCTGGAAGGAGCTCAAAGTAACTGAATTTTTTTGAGACTTCCATACAATGGACAGTAATATAAACTGTGAGTCTGGGCTAATGCTGTGCTGTAAAAGAGTGTTTAAGACAAGAGGAGATACCAGTTGGGGAGAAATGGCTTTGAGTCTGTGGTGGCAGATGAAAATCAGGTATCTGAGGCTTTTACGCGCTCCAGCTGCTGGCTCTGCCCTTGAGGTATTGATGTCTGATCTGCTTATGATTCAATTCCTGAACTCTCAACTTTCAGTGTGGTGTAGGTGAACTGAACCTGGAGCCACTTAGCTTTCAGATCAGCCTATTGAAACTAGTGGTGGCCCAGGAGGTGATTGAGGAGTTGTGGCATCCCTTTGCAGGCGAATTGGGGCAGATGACTGGGGAAGGTAGTTGTGAAGGCGTGCCTAGTTTTTTTATCTGCTACTACAAACCTTTTGGAGCCCTAAAATGTAACCTCTTTTGAAGGGATGTTTTGGCTTTTGTTTGATACCACCTAACTTGCCAGATGCCCATAATCTTGAAGTTCTTTGATGCTAGAGTTGTGCTCTAGGAAATGTTTTCCTCCCCTTGCATCCAGCTTGGGGAGGGGGGGGAGCTGTTTTTATACTGCCTGGTTTAAAAGGAGAGAATGAGTTACAGGTGCATATTTCAGCTTTAATCTTCCTTCTGGGGGAAAAACTTACTTTAAAAATAAGCTGCTTTTCTTTGTAGTTTCATTGTTGCTGTTTTTCTTGCCCTATAAATGTTCCACAGAACTTTTTGGATTATATTTGGCCCTTATCTCTGCAGAGAGTCTTAGTTTTTCTTCACTAAAACCTTTCAGTTAATGAACAAACTCATGATGGTCAGGTGAGCTAAAATATACTGTGCAGTTATGTCCACTTGATGTCAGTTATGGAAGTCTTAACTCCTCCTTTCAGCTGGTAGTAATAGAAACAAGTGTGAATGTTGCTGGAGCTTCTTATTTTGTGAGACATAAAAGGTTAAGTAGAACTGTCTTCAAAGTAAAACTGCCAGCAATGGGCTATTTTTAAGCCCTTCTCTCTTCTACATTTTAAAATGAAAATGTGAAAGTACTTCACAGTTCTGCTCAGGGGTATTTTAGATATTTTAGCTGACAAGTTTGAATCAAAGAATATACTTCATGCTTCACTCAGTCTGAATGTCTTGAAATTACAAAAATAGAAAGTTAGAAAAATAATCTGCCTTTATACTTCCTCTCCCACCAAAACCCACAAAAGCGGACTGTGTTTTTTTTTTTTAGAGTGGAGATACTGGGCTTCTGTAACTTCTGAGGAGGGTTGACCTGGTCTGCTGAGATTGTAAACCCAGTAGAGGAACTGTAGGCATGACTCCTTAGAGGGCAAACTCAAGTTCTCTGGTTGGTTTGGGGGCTGGGTTTTTTGTTTGTTTGTTTTCTCTCCCCTATCACTTCAGAGCAGTTGAGCATGTAAACAATTTATGATGTGGCAGGCAGTATTACAGTTTCTGCAGAGTGAATGACCCCCATTGGTGTTGGTGAGCTATGGGAGGGGACTTAAGTGGCAGATGTCTGTTTCATCTATTGCACTTGCAGAAAATCTTGTTTGTGTATAAAAAAAGCTTTTGATGCTGAATGATCTGGTACTGAATAATAGATCTGAAGCCTTTGCAAGAAAAAGCAATTGTTTGTATTTATGTTTTTAAAAAATGTGAATATGGAAGAATACAGTTTCAGTACTAAATTAAGTGATTTTTTTTTTTTCTTTCAGAAAACCATAGCTAAAATTGCAACATGCTTGGAACTGAGAAGTGCAGCTTTACAGGTATAGCTCTTTTTCCCATGTGACTTCATACTTTAGCAATAGGTAACTGTAGAGCTTTTTACAGCTAGCTTAGTGTCTTCAGATATAGCCAAAACTTCTGAAAGGAGAGTGAACAAACCCTTGAAAACTTGAACTTTCCAAGTTGTCAACATGATGCCCCAGGTGGTTACCTGAAAAACCTTTTAAGTGCTTATATGAGCATGTATTAGGGTTTATGCAGGAATATAACCATGGGTTTTGTGTCTTTGATTCTTTGCCTCATTTTCCTCATTCAGAAATAATTAGTTTGTAATCTTAACCTGTGTGCAATGGTAAAAAGATCCCCGGAGTGACCCTTGCGCTAATTCAGCCACTTCACAAAACATAATACAGCATGAGGAAGAATGCGTGTGTAGAATAGAAATGACTTTGTAGCAGTCATAAACTGGCAGTGCTGTAGGCAAATGTGTGAAAACAGTGATTTAGAAGCTACTCTGGGCTTTTTTCTGCACTGAAAGTAGATGTCATGGAAGTGAATTTCTTTTTCTCTCAGCACAATCTTATCCCCAAAACAAAAGGGACATGACAGAAATTTCCAAAAGAGTGTGGATGGGGGAGGGTTGAATCAAGTGAAGTGAAGTTTGGGTGACTGGATTGCCTCTTTACCAACAGAGTAGTGACAGTAAAATTTTGCCTGAAGTTACAGCTGCACTCCTGAATGCTTCATGTTGCTGTACAAGGTGCAGCAGCTCCGTTGTGCTGCCTTCAGTTGTCTGAGAGGCTGTGATACAGTGACAATTTAGGCAGAGTGCTGGAGCTGGACTAGCAAGGTGGGGGCTGACCAGTCTCAAGGCTTTGCAGTGTTTGAAGAATTATTTGGTTAGCTCTACCAGTCTTTCTGTTTTGATCTATGATTTGAACTACGCTGTTCGAACAGCGTTGCACCTGTTCCGAATTGCTGTGACTTTGTGACGAGGGCAGGCGTGTTCCATTGTGGGGCAGCTTCATGGGTCAGAGCAACAGCCGAAGATGCAGCAATGTCATCGCCTGCCAAGCTGAAGGGAGGATGTCTTGCAGAAACAGCCTTCCTTGCTGTTGGCTCCTCAGCAGTAACTCACGGATTTTATAACCTCATGTGAGGGTACTAGAACTTCTCATCCACTTCACTCTGGGGAGTGTTTTATGATGGCTTCTTAGCAGAGATTAAAGCAGTTAGTGAGTGCGATCATCTTTACCCGTTCTCCTAACGGTATGGGTATAGCTGCCTTACTATCCTTCTGTAGTCTTGCAGAAGGTGCTTGTTGACACTTAGGCAAATCAGGAAAAAAGCCCATTGGGCCAATGAACACTCTTAGATGCCAAGGGTGCAATGACACAATAGGTAAGACTTGATCCTCTGCCTAAAAGAGGATGTCCAATGTCGGTCCTCTTATTTACACCATTTTTATGCCAGCTCTGCCACTTGTCATCTCAGACCAGGCTAACAGTGAACTACCTCAGAATAAAAATTGAAAAACTTTTGTGTTGAGTTAGTAAGTCAGATAGGCTTGCTGAGACGCAGACATGTGCTGCAGACAGATGAGGAAACTCCATCACCAGAGTTGGAGAAAGGAGAGATGGGAATCGCTCTTCCATTTGCAGTGAGCTCTTAGCTGAGGGTTTTGTCAAGCTCACCCTGTACACTTTAATTTCTGACAGTGTTACAATGTTGGACGTGTGTCTTGAGCTGTGAATGCTCCTGTTGGAGCATCGCTTTGTAGTTCAGTCTTACAACTGATCTTGCTTCAGAACAACTTGATTGGGGAAGGATTAAAACAAGTCCCTCTGTCTTAATGCTCCTGTGTGTAGTAAGTATGAAAGAGCAAATATTTATCTTGCTTTAGAGCTTGGAACATGGGATAAATTTGTTCTCAGTAAATGAGAAATAATGTAGTTTCCGCCTCACCCGTCAACGTAGCCTCTGTTGGGGAGGTTTTGTTTGGGGTTTTCTACAATGTAGCTTTGAAGTAACCTGGTACGCTTGAACAAAGGAAGCACCTTGCAAGCTCATTATAAGATATGGTAGCTCTGTCTGAGAGGAAGGTGCATACTAAGATCTAACTCTTTCTTTGTAATGTCCTAGTCCACCCAATCACAGGATGAATTTAAGCTTGAGGATCTGAAGAAGTTGGAACCAAGTAAGTAGTGTCTTTGTATTTTGAGTGACACTTATCATTACCGTGGAAAATATGACAGCAGCATGAATACTGACTGACCACAGCGTGGTTTGGCAGTAATGCTGGTTTTAGGTAGTTCTTCCAAATATCTGTTACCATGTATACAAAACCTTAAATTCCTATTAAGGAATGTAATGTGGGTAATTTTAAAGTATAGTAGTCCTATTGTTTCAGATGATGTATTTATCTTTGTTCTCACATAAGTAATTCTTTGGGTGCTGCAAATTTTTGCACAAAATAGTAATTTAAGCTATCAGTAGTACAGTATATAATCAGCTGGAAAATCTCCCTGCATATTTCTTGTTTGAACTGAATTTCAACACTGTGGTCTTCCTCCTTGCAGTGTGAAATTATTTTTTCTTCTGAAAATATTTGACTTGTGTTCATGGTAGCCAAGCACCTGTCACCTACCACTGTAATGCTACCGGACTAACAAAGTTAAAAGTCAAAGTGAGGATGTGAGTCAGTCTTTGAAGGGGTTAGTGTGATGTTGTTTTTTCCCAACTGATTCTGTGTCAGTTCTTGGTATGTCAATCCAGAAATAGCTTTTTCGTGTAGGAAGTAACTATTTATCTGTTACATTTTCCTTCCTGTAACACTGGCTGTTTTATTCTCAAAGCATCCTTATGATCAGAGCTTCTATGTCTGAGCAATATTATCCTGAGTGCTAACGTTTCTGCAATTCTTGGTGGAGATGTGGAAGAGCTTCTTTCACACTGGCAAAAGCTGGTTTTATTTCACTCATGTCACAATTGTATCATTAAGGGGGAGGCTGGTGATAAACATGACGGGCAGGCAAGTGTTTCCACTTCATGATTAAGCTGAGCTTCTCTGCGCTACCATTCTCTGAGTAACCAGCACAGGATCCTACAGGGAAGCTTGTCAAGAAGCAGGGCATCAAACTGAGCTTCCTGATGTCTCTAGCAGAACATAGAGTCGAAATGCTTTTAAACCGTTCCCTGAAAATGGAAAGTGAAGTTACAAGACTGCTAGGTCTATGCGGACCATAACTCAGGAAAGGGTTTAACTATGTGTTGGAAGTATTAGGTCTTTCTACATATTGCATGTCTGGCCTCTGCATCCTCTGATTTGGGATTATTTTGTATAGATACTCCTGCGCTTTCTTTATGAAGTATTTAAAATGTTGTAATGATTTAATGACTGTGGTTTTTAGACTCCATTGTGCAAATGCCCTGTGAGTGACTGAATTGTGGAAGACGGAGAGGACTAATTTTTTAATTGATCAAACTGTTCTACGAATCAAAAGAAGTGACTGTTGAAGGGTTTAGTCAGAATTTACATTCTGCCAAGACATAAAGCTTCCCTTGAAATACCTCCTTTTCTTAAAAGCCAAAGTTTCAATTACAGTGCAACAGTCCTGTTGCTTATCTTGCCCTCCATCAGAGAATTGATTTTTAGCTGTCAAAAAACCTGTTCAACAGTGTGAACTTCATTCAGCCCACGCCTCATACAACAAGCAACTATATTAAAACTGAGGAAGAGTGTGCAGCCATCAGTTTTCAAAGACACTGAGTTATTTTCCTTGGAGGAGAATGGGTGCTCCTGCAACAACAGTTGAACATTGATGTTCTTAATGCTGCTGTCTGACTTGGATTGTTCTGGCCTCTTTCTCTCTGAATTGTGTCTTTGTTTTGTGGTTTTTAAGTATATCTTGAATAGAATAAATCTTAATCGGGCCAACACCAGCCATTTCATAAAATATACCATGAAGTATTTTAATTTGTGTGTGGTCAATTTTCTCTTGCGTTTCACCAGAAAAAGCTAAAAAAAAAAAATCAGAGCTGGCAATGCAAATAAGCGATTCCTTTGTTAGGTCAAGCCATTGTGTTAAGAGTGGAACAAAACCAGCTATTCACACAATTTGGCTTCTTTTAATTAGCTTCCTGCCTGAAGCTGTCAAAATGGCTGAGAAATTTGGTTTGGGTGGTGTTATAACAACCAGGGCCCTTAGATTTAGTGCTTTTTTTTTTTTTTTAATCTTGTATGGTCAAGTTCTAACTTTTCCTGCTTAAGCCTGTGTTTCATACTGCTTGGAAAGTGAAGCAGTTGGATAGTTTTGCTTGTTTACAGGATTTGTCACCAAATTTTTTGTGCTAGAGTAATGCTACAGGAGGGACCATACATACAAATAGTTCTTTTGAGACTACACTGTGTGAAATCATTGCTAACCCACTGGATCTCACAAATCCTTTCCTTGTGAAAGCTTATACCAGTGTTATAATACACATTACAAATGGATAGGCTGGGACATCCTGTGTGCCTGTGTTTGTGTGTGATAATTCTAGCCACAAGGTGACTAGTTTCAAACTCAAGTGTATAAGTGTTATAAGAGAAGTAGATACTGGGTTGTACTGAGAAGCCTGGTATCTGAATTACTTCGTGTTGTCTAGTTAAAAACAAAAAACAAAACAACCAAACAAAAACCAAACACACACCCCCCACCCCCCACCCCCCCCAACCCCAAATCAGTACAGGTATCACAGGCTGTCACTAAAAATCTAAATGGACAGTGGTCTTTACCAAGTGAGTGTGTACTAGTCTTACAGCTCACGTTGATGATGATTTCTTTTGAAATCTTTCAAGAGAGAGCCAGCTGCTGATAGAATCAATGTGGTATTGTCCAACGTCACAAAAGAAAAGGCAGCTTCTACACGAGAGCCTGCAGAACAGTATTTCAAAAAAGATTTCTGTAGGAAAAGCAACATAAATAGAGGCCATGATGATGGGATCTGCCCGTAAGTTACACACATGGAGAACTTTGTGAATCGTGTTCTCAGCAGCAGCATTACAGAGGGGAAGTGCTCTTTCTCCCAGAGGTGATGTGTGTTTTTAAAAACAAAACAAAACCCAAAAAAGCCCAAACCAACCTCTCAAAGCTTGGGTGGGTGTCTTACACAGTATTGCAACAGAGATTCCTGTTCATTTTAATCTAATGCCTTTTTTTTTTCCTGTGACCTGGTTATTTTTATTTAAATCAGCTGAAACTTGCACTTGTGATAGATGTAAAGAGGATTTTCCTTTTCCTCAAAGGATGATTGTTGCATTGCTGTTTTATTGCTTTGCCTTTTCTTATTGACTGTGAATAAGTATTTTACCAGGCTGAGTGCTGTAGATCCACTCCTTATCCTGATGATGTTTAAAGGAACACTTTATTAAATTGCCCTATCACCACTTTGCAAAATTATTTGCTGTTGGCGATGAGACAGAGTTGAAGGCCTTTTAAAAACTTGATCCACAGCTTTCCTTGGCAAAAGGCAAGAGATTCTAGATGGTGTTTCCAGAAGTGTTTCTGAGCTAAACATTCAGCATCACCTTTGTTACCAGCGCCGGCCAGGATGTCTGAAAGCAGCGTACTGCTGTGGGCAGGTCTGGTACCAGCGCCCCTGTGCGTGGCTGCGGCTCTGTGGCAGGAGGGTGTATGCTCAGCTCTGCCTCCAGGCAGCATCAAGATTTTTAGGGCTGTAAAACTGCCTCTTTCATGTAACCTTATCAGTGGAGTATTTTCTGCCCTCTAGTGATGACTGAAATGTATTATTACTAAAAAGTTTTTTTTTTCGGGAGATGTTCATTCATATAGTGAAAGAAACTGGTTACTGGGAAGAGAGAGGAATCTAGTGCTTGCCAGCATTTGGAAGATGGGAGGAGAACTACTGTAACTTCTATTGCTTCTGTATAACGTGCCTGTGATCTGTAAAAGATACGATTTACTGAGATTTTTCTGCCTGGGGAAGTTTCACTTTGTCTCTGGTATGATGTAGCTTTCCAACTGCTGGGAAATTCTGAGTGTGACAAAAATCCCCTTCTTTTCCTGAACTTCAACTGCACTGGAAGATGAATGCTATTAATCAGCTGCTTTTATGTTGGGGAGTGACTGTGATTCTTTGCTACCATATTGAGATCAGAGTTACTGTTCTCTCAGCAGAAGTCTTGGGAGAAAGAGAGACTTAGCATCAGTTTTGTCTCTCACATCTCTGACTGAAGGCAACTTAAAGCTTTCGATGTATTTCTGTATCGTGTCCAGCTGGTACCAGGCAGTACCTGATCTCTTGGATGGTGATACAGAAATCAGGAAAAAAAAAAAATCAGTGTGAGCAAAGACTGGAAAGACTTTATAGTTCTTTATAGTTTCCCTTGGAGATTCTTTATTCACTGTAGCGTTCAGATGGTGTCTGGTAAGTTATTGATGGAGCCCACGCCACGTGATGTGAATACGCAGGCATACAGGGAAGCTCTCCTATGCTGGCTGAGTTGTAGCGTGCAGAGGCAGAGGGGTCTGGCATTGGTTCCTGAAGCATAACTGGTGTTTAAGTATCTCTGGGTAGTTGTGTAATCTTAACATTGTTTTAAAATGGTTTTGTTACCGTTCAGCAGTCCTACGGGGTGATTTCCCGTGCTCTGAGAGGGCTTATTGCAAAGTGAGACTCAGTGAGAGGACTCAATTTTACTGCCTCCTCTCTCCCTACCTAGTCTGGGATACTCCTTGTCTGGTAGGAGAGAGCCTGTCCCTGCAGGCGTTCTCTTGTAAATTTTTAGGCTCCTTAGCCATCATGAAATGCTTATTTCTTTCACATGCTTCTGGAAGTTTTGCTTTTACTCATGAATGCTTTTGGAAATAACAGCTAAAGTTGTGATTGCTAAAACTTCAGTAAATTTCCAATACAAATGGCAAAGCCATTCTCCACTGAATGCTGGAGAGTATGGTTGGTGTTTCTGTGGCTTGATGCTCAGATGTTGCACTGTATTTTCTGAATTTTGCCTGTCTGTCCAGACATCTGAGGGCAGGAAAAAAAAAAAAAGAACAAACAAAAAGGCCACCACTGCCACCAAAACAAACAACCAAACAAAAAAAAACCAACCAAAAACCCCAAGCCAAAACCACCAAAACACATGCATGAAGTAGGAAATCTCAACTAAACTATGTTACCAGCATGCCTGGATTCCCAAGGTGGCTGGCTGAATGTGCAGCCTACATGTGTGCTTAAGTGTGTCAGTTTTGGAGACTTCAACCTGGAGCTGATGCCAGTAACAGCACCACCCTCCTTTCAATAACCACCAAAGATTGCTACCAGTACCCCTAGGTATGTACCCTGGGCCTGTAGTTTTTTCTCATGATGCTTTTGGCTATTGCCCGGTTGATCTTCCCTGTGGTGGTGATGATCATGTACTGGAGTTGTGGTTAGCCTGCCTGAGCATTACAGTGATATAGCTCTGATCAGGATGGCACTGGTGTTTAAAATACAAGGGAAGGGTGGTGGGTTTTTTGTATGGTCTGATTATTTTTAAAATATTATTTATGTGTGTGTGAAGATGCTATGAGAATGGATATGGCTGTGCAAAGCAGTAGAATTAGTGTTTGTTTATGGATATGGATTATTTTTTTTTTTTTCCCCTTCTCTGCAGTCTTAAAGAATATCCTCACTTACAATAAGGAGTTCCCCTTCGATGTTCAGCCTGTCCCACTCAGGTAAGAGAGAACTGGGTCACTTCATGTACAGATACGTACCTGAAAGGGAGCGTAGCCTGGGACCTGGTGCACATCTGAAACACTAGAATTTCTATACCCACCTACTTGCTGTACTGCTTTGGGTAAACTGGTTAATAAAAGAACTTTTGAATTCTGTTTGTCTAGGTATCACTAAAAATCAAGCCCATACTTTTGGTAAAATCGAGCCTTGGTACATCCCTTCATCTCTCTGAAATTGCCGTGTTGTCTCTCATTTTTAGACTGTGCTTTCTATTGGGCTGAGCTCTTGCAATGTCTGTCGGCCTCTATAGGTGCAAGTGATAGTTAATAAGAAGTATGAAATGACGTGAAAGCATGTTGCCTCTGCTCTATACTCAGATGCTGACTTGTGAGTTGAAAGCCAGGTGCTGAATGATCTTTGGTCTCATTCTACTTTCTCATGTTTTACAGGAAGATTTTGGCGCCTGGAGAAGAGGAACACTTGGAGTTTGAGGAGGATGATGAGGAAGGAGGTGCTGGAGCAGGGTCTCCAGACTCTTTTCCTGCTAGAGTTCCAGGTAGGGGCACAAGCCTTGCCATGCCAGCCTACTTAGCATGTCTAAGTTCTGTCTCTGAGAAGCCCCTTTCTCCACCTGTGGTTTGAAAAGTTTGGGTGAGGAGCAACAGGCTAATGTAAATGCTAATGCTGTGTTGGAGAACCACAAAGGTGGCCAGTGGATTTTTTTTTTCCTCAGCAAAGAGTATCTTGTTGCATAATAATTGTATGTATAACATGTGAGGGTGGTACCATCTGCCTATAATTAGCCTTTATTCCTTGTTCAAACTCAGTATTTTTATTCCATGCGCTTTCTTAACTATACTTTGTGAAGTGTTTCAAACACATTCAAATGTAAATTGTGGCAATGTTTCTCCTGCAAGGAGCATCACATCCTGCTAGAGATACGGTAAGTTGTTGCTGGTTATTTTTGTGTTGCATCATCTGGTGAGACAGTGGCTTCGACTAAAGCCAAGCTCCGAGTGGATAAAGAGGGGGCAGCTTTGGTTTTGACAGCTTAAGCCCTTGTCCGTGTGAAAGCACTTGTAGAACTGGATATACCTGCAGATTCTAGAGGAGGTCTTCCTGTAACTTCAGCTTTTGACCATTTGCCAGGTAAAGGAGTAGGATGTTCCACCTGAGGTTCTTTTAGTTCCTGGTGTAGTTTCTTTGCAGAAGAAATAAGTTTCTCATTTCAGAGCAGGCTGGCAAACTTCCTGTTTCAGGAAGGGAAAGTAGTAGTGGAATTATGGTCGAAAGAGCTGGGGTGTTGCATTACTTATGCCTGGAGAAAACATGTCTCTGTCCTTAGATTTGAGCCAATGCATGCTACTGAATCTGATCCCTGCAGGCTATACTGATGAAGATAGGCACAGTCTACAGGGGTTTTTTGTGCTAAGCTCACAAATAGGCTATAATATATTGTGATATTTTATTGCTGCATTTGCTATCTTGACACTTGTTATTCACCATGATAAATCCATTTGTGAAGATGTATTCTGTCTGTCCAAAGTACAGCAGAGAGACCTTGAGTAGCTCTTGGTGTGGTGGTGAATCCCTGGGGCTGTGACAATTAGCACAGTGCCCACAGTTACCTCTGTGCAACCCATTAGAGCTGTATGCATAACATGGACATAGAAGCTGTGGGTGTGCTTGAGAAAGCAATCTAAGATGATGATGGACAGATTGAGTTTACAGTTAAATAATTTTCAAAGAAGTAGGGTAGCCAAACTGGAAAAGGAGAAGTTTGGGGCATATATTTTCTTATAGAATTATTCCTCAGTAAAACCATGCTTTTAAGAGGAGGTGAGCAACTCCTGAACTTACTGATATTTTACGTTGTCATCAACTTAATAAACTGTATATCTGAATTTTCTGATATCTTTTTGCATCAAGATAAACTTGCCCATTGCTACAATCTAAACCCCTAAGGCGGTTTTGTACTGCTTGAACACAGATCTTGTTTCCTCACTGAATGTAAATTAGTGTGGTGTTTCTTACCTGATTGAAGGTTGGTCTGTTGCCTTCTCTGGGTGATGAGGCTGAAACAAAAGCAATTTGCAGCCTTCTGGGGTGAGCCTGACAAGTAAAGTGGACTTTCCATATTGGATTGATAGAACTGTGTTGCACTCTTTGCTTCTATATACCTTAATCCGTAGTGCATAACTGTATTGTCTAACTAATCATGGTCTTGTCTTCTACATGCATGGCTTCATCGTTATCACATTGCACCATTCATCTAACCCAGGAGCCAATGAAGGTATGATACCCTTTTAGTATATACAGTTATTTCTTTGGACATATTCATGTAGCTGTGGTGTTCTGCATTCAGCTCTTAGTTTCAGCCCTCAGAATACTATCTTTGGTAGCAATCATGGCATCTATGTGTTGATCTTCATTTGCCTTCAGTACCATAAAAAGGGAAGGTCATGTTTGGTGAAGCACCTTATGCATAGATATCTAGAAGTCCTACTGTGCTAATAAGAACACTCTGACTTGCAGTGTAGCCAAAGGTAGGGGTAGCTAGATTTTCGTTAGTGGAATACACATTTTATGGGAAATCTTACACACTACAGTACTTATGTAGTTGAACTTCTGTGCTGTATGGAGCTGAACTGGCCAATGGCTTGCTGCCTCTAACGGCAAAGGTTTCCTGCCTTTCTCCTGGTTTACTTCTTTATTCCAGTGCTGTGCTGGCAATGGATTCTTCTATGAACCATTTCCATTTGTGAACCCAGCAGGAGACTGATCAGTTTTTCCCCTTTCTCTGAATCGGGGTTTGGGAACGGAGAGACTGAACGCCTGTGTCTTGGTGGCAGCGAGCTGTTGGGTTGGCTCACCTTTGTGTATCGTGTGCTTGGAGGAGGACACTTACTTCATTTGCAGATGCTCCCTTCCCCCTCTGGCAATGACGCCCTGTGGTTGTGTCCAAAACGGCTGGCAGTTTTCTCATGAAAGGCCTCAGTGTGAGCCTGCTGAAGGCCAATGGGCCTCAGCCATGGTGGCAGACTGGCAGTGCGATGCCCAGCCCTAGCAAAGAAGCCCTCCCATAAAGAGGTTACTGTCAGCTAATGGCTCCTGTGTCAAATGACTACAGAGGCTTCTGCGAAAGGCCTACTTGGGTGGCTGTGGCTCACATGAGACAGGTTACAGTCAGCTGCTTCACCCCACTGCTGGCTTGGCTGTCCCTCCAGCTGAGGCAGAAAGGAAACGGTGTTCCTTGGAGACCGTCTGTCCTACTGTTCTCTTACCTGCTGGAAGTGAGCCTGACTTTTCTGTTCATTGCAACTCTCCTATTTCACCACGTTCTGGAAAGCATTTTTCAAGAACAGAATAATTTTTCTGAAGCCACTAATTTAGAATAAATGCCAGTCTGACACATCTTTCAGGTGTTTTTTCTGTTAAGTATCCCATCACTTAGTGCCTTTGAGCGATTGATAGGAAAAGCGAAGATTACAGTTGCTCTTGGCAGGCATGCTGATTTGGGAGGTGGCTGAAAAGTGGCAGAGCAAAGTTTTATGCCAAAGAGAAGATGGGCTTGCTTCTGCTGTCATTTAGATTGAAATAAGAACTCTGTCGTTGAACATTTGTTCAAGAGAGACAGCAAGAGTAACTAGAGCGTGTAGGCTGCTTTGCAGAAATGAGTGCTCTCTAATACGTTTGCTTTCTAACATTTCTCGTACTACAGTCAGAAGCCTGCCCCACTGCTTCAGAATGGTGGGTTGAATTCTGCCGTGATATGTTGTAAAGTGCCTGCAGATGTGGTACCCTAGCTGCTAGCAGACTCATGACCTCCGAGACAGCAAACACAGAAACATACTGCATCATAGATGTGAATTTAAATCTTGCTGGTGATCCTGAAAGATCACTGGGTGTGGGAATGCTCATGAAATCTCACTGAAGCTGTGGCTTTAGTTCTAAGAGCAGAATACATGGTCCCCTCTTGCAAAGCCAGTCTCTTTAACAGGACAAATAATCCTTGGTTCTCCAGATCCTCAAGCAGATCAAGAGGGGAAAAAAAAGTATTAAGGAAAACCCATATTGGACTCGTCAAAGGAAACTATTATTTTATTTATATCTCAAGCCTTGGGCTAACTTTTTTTTTTTTAAATTAGAAAACCAAAGCTTTAAATCAAACTTGCTCATGAATCTAAACATTTTCTGTCTTGGTGCTTATTCATCTAATGCTGGAGAGAGGCTTGAGGCCTGCCAGTTATTGCTAAAATCAGCACGAAGAGACCTACTGCATTGTTGATGACAGAATCTCATAGCTTCTAGTGAATTTGAACAGTTTGGATTAATTGCCAGCTGCACTGTCTTCCTCAGCACTGTGAGGATTCATTTACAGTGACCACGAAGTTTTGATGCAGAGCTGGGAACTCTTTCCTTAAGGCAGAAGTGAACTTGGGGGATGCAAACACTTCCCGCCCCCTTTAAATAGAAGCCAGTAGAACATGGATGATTAAGACTCTCTCTTCTGGTTCCCTTATGTCCAGTGGGATTTGCAACAATGCCATTTTCCTCCTTATTCTCCCAGTCTAAATGTTCAACATGAAGCCAAGTCATGTTCAATGGGGTGGGACTCATTATTAAGTATCTGAACTTCCTGCAACTGCAGCTTGAATCCAGTCTTCCCAATTTAATCCTTAAATATGATATAAAGTGAGTTCCATGATTGAGTTATTCTGCATGACAGCAAGAAAGAACACTTTAAACAAAGCTCCTCTCTGTTGTTACGGCATTAGTTTTTTATGAAATCATTTGATTTGAGGCAGTCCTGAGGTTTTTTTGGTGTGGGTTTTGAAATCTGTCAAATGATGTTGTGTGTCTGTGCACAAAGACTTTCCCATAGTGGTGTGTAGTATCGGGATATGAATCCTTGGGCTTTGAACCCACCGAAGAGAGCAGCATCTTCCAAGAGAGATGGTGGGATAAGCAAGGCCTCTGCTGTAAGATGACACAAAGAGTTAATAATATGCTTTACTCTTTCCAGGTACTTTATTACCCAGATTGCCATCTGAACCCGGGATGACATTACTCACCATCAACATAGAGAAAATTGGTCTGAAAGATGCTGGGCAGTGCATTGATCCTTACATCACAGTCAGTGTAAAGGGTAATGATTTCTGTTCCTGGCTCCTCATTTCTAGTTTGGAGAGTGTGTTTTCTGAAAGCTCCATTGATTTTTTTTTTTTTTTTTTTTTTTTTTTTTTAAACCTGCTGGGAAAAATACTTGCTACTTGCATTTTCTGTTGTGGACTTAAGGCTTCTGCTTTAATCAAGGGTGGAAAAATTCTGTATTTGAGAGGTACTGGGAGGTGAATCACTGCAGGAGGCACACTTACCTGTGCACTCCGGGGTGCCTTCCCCCCGCTGGGAGCTGAGTGTCAGTGACTTGGCAGGCTGTACTTCTCTATGCCAGCTTCTTCAGCTGACACTTAAGTACAGATCTGTTTGGACTGCTTGTACTCCCCAGCACATACTGGTCTCTGGGCTTTCTGGAGGTGGTGAACCACAGCCTGCTCTTGCCCTGTCATTAAACTAATTTTTTTTTTTTTTTTTTTTTTAGTAAAACAGAGATTGTCTTACCAAGGCTTAAGGTTTAGAGGAATGAGTATGAAGCTGGGAAACAAAGCTTGCAAGTGAGATAAAATATAAAATGTTTTAGCCTTGGCAGTGAAATATTTCAGCCAAAGCCTGGTGAGCTAGCAGCCTTCCCCTCTGAGAGCCTCTGTTAATCTGGAAGAATCTCTCTCTTGTCGGTCCAGGAAGGGCAACATTTGGATTTCTCACTGTCTCAGATGACAACATGGTTGATGTTTTTTGCTTGAGTCTAAGATTTTTGGTATTCAGACTCTTTCTAGTGGGAGCATCTGCTTCTTCCTCAGTTTGCATTTCTTAGCGGGAAGCCCCTGTAGTCAGAATTGCTTACCCTTACCTGCCCGGCTTGACTTCTGCTTATCTTTACAATCTTTTGAGGTATATGGGTTTTTTGTTTATCATATAAAAAATTGTAGCTGAGCCAACAGCCTGTAGTTATTTTTAGTTGTGATAGCAACCTTGTATGTGTCCTCTTTAGATGTGCTATTGGCTACCAAACATAGAGGTAAAGTACTTGTTAGATGTGTGATCAGGTGCTTCCTCCACTGGACAAGTTCTTTGGCAGAAGTAAGAGTCGCTGCATTGAACATCCCTTGAATCCCAGTGATGTTCTCAAGTGTCACCTGCCAAAATACATAGAGAGCTTTATCTAATCCCGCTTCCTGCGATGGCTTTTTCCAATGGTGAAACCTTCCACTTCTCTCTGGACTTCTGAGGAGCTCACCTGGTTGGGGTGGAAGCTGGAGCATGGCTCTTTCCTTCCCCAGCCAACACAACTGCCTCTTTTTGTTTTCAGTCTTGGAAACATGCGGTATTTCTTTGTTTATGGTGTTGCCTTAGGTTTGCAGCCTTGTTTTTAGATGGTGTAACTATTCCTTGGGCTCCGTTTCGCTAGTCAGTTGTGGATCTTTCTTTGCCCCTAGGATGCCAGAAAGCTGAGGGATGGGTGACTTCAGTGGTGGGGCTAGCTGGATGGATGTGGATTAAATTTAATCAAATGTAATTCTTTCATGCTGAGTTTCTCTTGGCCAACAGGAAAATAACAGCGCTAATGGGGTTCTAACATTGGATCCTGGAACTTATCAGAACTTGTAAAGCAAACATTCCTTGTTCCTTGCTACTGAAGTGTTTGTCTGTCTTAACGTATTACGTATTGTTAAAACTGCTTGCCTTCAGAACTTGCTCTCATTTCCTTTCTGGAGCCCAGGGAGACTGTATATTGCTAGGCTTACTTACCCAACAAGGCTATCTGTTAACATGTGGAGCCTATTTGCAAGCTCCTAAACATGGTGGCTGCCAAATAATGATGTAGAAAATACAGTAAAAAGTGTGTGTGTGTGGGCAGGCTGTTACCTAGTCTGCTAATGTGACTTTTTGTACTTTTTCTCACGATTTTTGGTGAGGAAAAGTAACTCTGAGAAGTCCTTTTCATCCCTATTAGGAGTCTGGGAACACTTAGTAGCTGTTTTCCTTGGTTCTATACCAGGCTGCTCTTCTGCAGGTTTAGAGAGAGGTTTGTGCCTGACACAACATTGGTGGTCCCAGCCCCGCTCCTGGATGAAGTGCCGCGGTGGTGCTCCAGGGCCCCGGTCTCAGCTCGTACCCGGGCACAAAGCACATGCTCCCTCCTTGTAACCTGGGCCAGTCGGTGGCAACTTTGCTCCACCTGGGGGAAAGGGATCCCTGACGAGAGGGGGACAAGGACAAACGTACTTATGAAAACAGCAGAGGGTGGTGAGAAACAGTATCATCTGCGGTGGCTGTGCCTGAGCAGTGCAACCAGCGGCCGGCGCAGAGAGCTGCAGCCCAGCCCAGCCCATGGCCCCACCGTGCCTCTGCCTGGGGAAGAACCGAGGGGAGCAACAGACGTTGAGTGCAGGCAGCAAAGCAGGGCACGTACAGCTTGTACAAGCCCTGCCAGCTGTGCCTGGCAGACCCTGGCGGGGAGCAGCCCTTGGGGTGTAGCCTGTTCTGCCGGTTCAGCTTCAGCCCTACTGGAGTCCTGCTTGAGGAGGGAATGGAATCGCAGAAGGAAATGTGCTTTTCAAAATAAAAAGAGGGATAATTCTAGATTTTCCAATTTTTAAATATTGTCAGAATTTTACCTGCTTTCATGTTGCAATCAAAAAGAAAATTCACTGACTGTGGAGGGGCATGATTGCCCCTCTTTTTGTTTTTCTTTTTTAAGTTTAGGGGGAAAATCCAGGTGTGCATTAACCTTTTGTGGCAGTATTAGGAGTGATTCATAGATCTCTTAAAGTCTGAGAAGCTTCTGCCATTCGTATGCTGTTTCTTTCCTGCAGATTTGAATGGGATAGATCTGACTCCTGTGCAAGATACTCCTGTGGCTTTGAGGAAGGAGGACACGTATGTCCATTTCAATGTGGACATCGAGATTCAGAAACACATTGAAAAACTAACAAAAGGTACGTAGTGTCAGACCTGAAGCAGGGCCCAGGAGCTGTGTGACTGTAGGCACTAGGCTGCCCCCGAGCTGCTGCTGCAGGGCTCGAGATCCAGACAGGGATGAAAATAGACCTTTGCCTCCTGGCTCTTTCAAATTGGTCGCTGTGGTGACTTGGAGACACGGGAGGAATGCAGAGAGGTAAAAATGCTGCAGCTGCTCTACTACACAGGTATTGAGCTGCTTTATCACCTTCTTGTCGTTGGACAAACTGTTACCTGGGTATGAGCGTCGGAGTGAAAAGTACAAGCTTTGGTGAGTGTGGTGAGCATTGTTAGAACACGGTGTAGCTTTTGAGTAAATAACAGAAATGTTGGAGATAATTCCCTCTGATGTGTGTAGAGCATCTTAATGGCAGATAAGTTTTCGGGTAACCATTGGCCATATTGCTAACTTTTCTGTTAAACCATTTTTCACTCTAGGTGCAGCTATTTTCTTTGAATTCAAACACTACAAGCCTAAGAAAAGGTTTACTAGCACCAAGTGCTTTGCTTTCATGGAGATGGATGAAATTAAACCTGGGGCAATTGTTATAGAACTGTAAGTGACTTGCCATTACAGATGCCAATAACAGAGGAAGTGAACTAGGCTTCAGTTACAGTGTGTGGCTTGTTGCATCAAGGAAGGTTTCTTGGACTCATTAGATCGACTTCCATAAGGAATAGTCTGGTTTTAATAAAGAAGGGAAGATAAAATGCTTTCAGGCAAATAAGATTGCTAGAGACCCTTCTCAAAACCAAGACTATTTCTGAATTAAGTGCTGGTGTTTGTAACTAAACTTTGTATGCAGTTAACAAATCCTGTATGGGAGATTTTAGTTTTGACCTTAGCTTGAGTGACAGATCCAGCTATATTTAAAAAAAAAAAAAAATCAACTCGCACAGTCTCTTGGTACAGAAGTTTTGTGAAGGAAATCTAGTTTGAGTCATGGGATACCAATTTGCAATTTCAAAGCATTGTTGGGTGGTTGTGGTTTTTCCTTGCTCTAAGTGTACAAAGAGATAGATGAGCCGGTTATGCTGTGGTGGTTATGATGAGCGCCCTACCCTTGCTGTGTGGCTGAACGTCTGAGTGAGGGTTTTGAGGGGTTTTTCAGGCAGAGGGTGAACCTTGCAATTCTGGGCACCTCTAGAAGAGTGCTTAGTCTGTGCTGGCTGGAGTGCTTCTGAAGTACGGAGTAACTGGTACGGCATCTCCTGCAGCCCCCAGTATTATGCTGGGAATTCTCCTTAAAAAACCCTTACGTTCATTTAAAAATTGAAATCTTTGTTTTGATAAAATAATAATCCAGAGAAAATACTGGTTTGAGTTTCTTCCTGTAAATTACTCATTATTGTTGCTTCCAGCAAGTCTTGTCAGATGTATTTAAAAGATTACGGTAATAAGACCTGTACAGGACAAGCTTTCTAGTACATTTTCATCTTCCTACACAGCCATTAGCACGTGGGTTAACTTACTCTCTTGTGGTTACAGGTACAAAAAACCCACTGACTTTAAAAGGAAGAAATTGCAACTGTTGACCAAGAAACCACTTTACCTTCACCTCCATCAAACATTGCACAAGGAATGACCCGAGTTGTGAGACTTCTGTGAACTGAACCACGAGTCACGGTAGCTGTGTGTAGTAGCCTTAGCCTTCGAGGGGCGGGAAAACGACTGTATTGATGCCAGTAGGTCAGACGGGACCATCCCACACTGCACGGCACTGCTTCAGGGTCAGGGGCAAGCCCACCATTCACGTGCAAGATTTTTTCAGTACCTTCCAGATACAGGTTTTTCTGAGAGCCCTGAAATATGTTGACTGCTTTTCCTAATTTTGCTGTTCATCACGTATCTTAACCGTTACTCTCCTTTTGCCTCAAACTCCACCCAAGGATGGAGACGGCCCCTCTGCCAAACCTGTAGCAATAAAGACGGGGCAGGCCTACTCACTGTTTACACCTGCTGTGCTATTGTAGTTCCTCTCATCTGCATTGTGGAGTCCTCCGTAGCGGGCTGGGTGGCAGAAGACCAGCAGAAGGATGAGGTGGGGTGGGAAGGAGCTCAGGGTACTGCAAGTGATTTAGTGAGAGAGCAGAGGATGGTGGGTGAGGCGGGGTGGCCACAGCAGAGCCCCTCCGTCGGCTGCTCTGCTTTGGGTGGGCCAGGAGGAGGACAACCGCAGATGAGAACATGGAACTAGGGTTTGTAACAGCCTTGCCTGATCCACTCCTACTCTGAGTTTCGGATACGTGTTACAATCCGTTAACTCACTGTTGCTCCCCAGTAGAGCTAATTTTTCTGTGTGTTGCCATAGTGATTTGTGAAGGTGGGTGGGGGTGGAGAGAGGCTTTCTCCAGGGCTTCACCCTCGTGGCAGTGGGTGTCTCACCATTTCGGTGGCAGCAGGACAGGCCCCTCAGCGTTCAAGCATCAATTTCCCAGAGCTTTTGGTAAAGCAGATCCGGCTAGCAGGTTGACCCACCCTTTAACAAGAAACTGCTGTTCTTACAGAAACCAATTGTGTGCAGTTTTCTGCATATTTTGTACAAGTCTGGAAACTTACTCTAAAAATTACCTTTTTATGTAAGTAGATAGGATTATCATTTATTTTCTATATTTTTGATTTGGTGTGTAATAAGCTGCAGGACATTGGCTTATTATGACACACTCTGCATTCACCTTTTGACCTAATAAAGGGACAGAAGTAGAACCCAGTCAAATCTTTCATATATTTGTGTGGATATTTAATACAGTACTTTAAGGTTTGATATACTTCTTGCGTATCTAACTAGTGCCTAAATACTCTGCTATGCTAACGAAAGACCCAGCTCCCAAAATAGTCAAATATTAGGTTTGTTTTAAACAGTCCGGATGCAGATGTATTACCAGTTCCCCTCTCCTGTCATGTAACCCCAAGGTGTTACGTTAGGCTTTAATGGAAGGGATGTTACTTTTCCTCACAATATTTGTCTGTCCACAGGCAGGTGTTCAGCACTTTTGGCTTTACCGTATTGATTAGGATAAAAAGCTATTTTTGAATGTTCTAATCTTCTTGCCTTCCCTCTATTCTGGTATAACTGGGGATGACATTATTTAGGTGTTATGACAAAAGTCAGCAACACTTCCTCAAATTCCACTACTGGAAGTGCAATTGAATTTTCCTGTTTACGGGTCTTTACAATACCCCAGTAGTATTACATCTGACACATTGAATATCAAGCCCTGGAAAGAGAGCCCTAGGAGTTACGGAAATACCTCTGAATGAGCGTTCTGGATACCAGGCACAAGGAAGATACAGACATTCTTAAACAAATAAAAACCATCCTCTGAACCAGATCTGCAAAAGGACGGAGCAGAGCCTTAGTCTGTGGCTGCAGGTAAATCCGAGCTTGGGCAAGAGCTGCGTTACCGGCCCGTGGTCCCCGGCCGGCTGGGGTCTCCCTGTCCCCAGGGGCTGCGGGGCATCCAGCCCGTCTGCCTCGCCGGGGTCGGGTCTGGGGCTCTGTCCAGCTCTGCTGGCATCGCTCCCGGCCGGGTGAAAGCGCTGCTGTCACCTGCGCCTGTCCCCTGTGACCCACAGCCCAGCGCTCCCAGGGGGAAGAAACCAACCCACCTGGCTTCCAGTCGCCAAGGCTGGCTGGGGCAGGCAAAGGCGGAGACACCGAGGGTCACTGAGCTCGGAGGTGGGGAGGGAGAGAGCCCGACTGTGAGGCGCGGATGCTCAGCGGTTGTGTGTCGGTAGCCACTGGCACTTGAACTACAAACCAGTGTTTCAGCTGCTTGCCTTGATCCCTCCTAGCTTGTCCATGCCTGTATTAACTCCGGTTACATGAAATGTCAACTTTGAAGTATTTTTGTTAAATACACAAGTAGAGCTTTGTATTTAACTAATTGTGAATTAATGTCTGTAGAGTGTGAAATACCATTTTTAAAGTTGCTTCTATCCTTTGTGGTTTTTCTGTGAACTTTTGCTGAAAGGATGACTCTTCCTCACAGCACAAGCTCTTGTTTTATGCTTCAGTGATGTTCGATCTTGTTCTTTGTCTTAAATCTAACGCTTAATACCATACCGTAAGCCTGCAGCACCTAGATGGCAAGTTTAATGGCTGCATGTGCTCTGGCAGTAAAGCTGTAACAGCCTTTCAGGAGGGGTTTTTCATTATTCCTAGTGGTTTTCCCTTTTTTTTCCTCCCTAAGATGTACTTTTGTACAGAGCACTTTTGAAAAACCCTTGTGGCTAGAGAAGCGAGCAGCCGGCTGTGCCTAACCCTACGTACTCTGCCGTGCACTGGGACTGCCCGGAACACCGACACGTGTAGGGCCTGTTTCTAAAGCGACCCGCAGGTCTGTGTATGCAAACTGATTTCAAGCAACACCAGGTAATACGGTCTGTCTACATCCACCTGCTCCCCTTCACACAAAACCTTTTTTTTTTTTTTTCTTAATACAAGTGAAAAAGGCTATAAAATACAGCCTTGCTGCTATGGAAGCTGAATCAGTCTTAAATACTAAGCAAGACTAAAGCTCAGCTCTCACACCTTGCTTAATGCTGCAAGCCAGGCTTGAAAGCAGAACGTGATGACAAAATTTCTTTGTTTCCAGCATCCTGGGGAGTTCACCTCTGTTTCCAAACTAACTACACAACTTGGAGCTGCAGCCTTCACCCAGGTTTCCAGCCCTGTGCTGCCCCTCAGCTGAGGGGGGCTCTGTCCCCCATCGCCCCTGTGGCACAAAGCAGGCCTGTAATGTACCAGGCTAGTTTAGTAACGCAGCTGTTAATCTGGCAGCAGCAGCAGCCCTGAGCCTGCCTTGCTTCAGTTCTTGAACTGGGCCAGGGCTGTACCTTCTCGGGGTAAGTTACTGAACCCCTGTCCTTTCTGAACAAAAAATGGCACTGAAACAAAGCCTTCAGGGTTTAGCAAAAGGAATTTTGCTTTTTATTATCACTTTCCTTTGAATACAGTGTCATTTGTGCTTCTGATCTCTGACCAGACACCTTTTTTTTAAAAAAAACAAACAAACAAACCAACAAAACAAAAAACACCACCTCACAGTCCTCATGTAAACCCCTGGCCTACAATAACTGCAGCTGAATGATGTGATGGAGAAGGCAGGTAGGATAGCATTTTACTTAAAAATTATTTCCACAGGAAATGATTTGATTTACATTTTTCACGAAATTAGTTCATTCACCAACTGGTTACAGAGGCTACATTTAATTAAAACTAGCCACACAGGTACTTCCTTTCTATTGCACGTTTAGAGAAGGTTCAAGTCCATCACAAAAAGGTTCTTGCAGCCCAAGAGGATGGATGAGTTTAAGGTGATCATAAATGCACATAAGATGTCTGTAGCAATTGGATAAAAATTAATCCCGCAAAAGCTGAAATATACTGAAATGAGACAAACTGCTTCCAAGGGCCATCTCCTAGATGCGCCAGAGTCCATTCCACCGAGCTGCTGACTGGAGGCTGCGGTCAGGGTTTCTGCACTGGAGGCTGTGTGTGGTCCTTGGAGCCCGGCGGTGGCAGCGGTGGCCCCCCGGGGTAGTCCCTCGGGCCCGATGGAGGCAAGTCTCTGTTAGGAGAAGGTGTATAGTCCCTTGAACCGGGTGGGGGGAGCCGGGGGCCTGGCGGGTAATCTCTTGGGCCAGGAGGACCTAGGGGCCGGAAAGGAGGGTGCCCACGTCCATAGCCCCTGGGGTCTGGAGGAGGCGGCAGTGGGCCAGGAGGCAGATCCCTCATTCCTAAGGGTGGGCCAGGTAAGAAATCTCTTGCAGCTGGAGGTGGCAAGGGAGCACCACGAACTGGAAGGAAAGGAAAACATGGAGTTAAACGAAACCTTGCTTTAACCTGAACGGTGAAGCTCCTGCCTTGTCCTTCATTTCTTCATTTTTCTGGAGCAGCTCTGGGGTCAGTCACTGTCACGTGCAGACTTCAGAGGCCATGAATTACAGTCTAGTGACTTGCAGCTGCTGGTTTCCATTTTAGACTAAAAGAGGAAAAACCACCTCCATAATACCTTGGCACTAAGGAGGCTTGAAAAAACCGCCCTGTGGGAGCCCACCGAGCAGGGCAGACCTCAGCTCTGCAGCAGGCTCCCGCGAGGCACGGCAGGGAAAGCCCAGTTTCAGCACACGGCAACGCAACTGTACCTAGGGGCATAGGAAGAGGTCGAGGCCCAAAGTGCCCACGGAGAGGTGCCGGCGGCGGTCCGTAGCGAACAGGCGGTGGAGGCGGAGGTCCCATCACAGGGGAGGTCATGATCGGTGTCCCGGGGAAAGAAGGTGGGCCTTTGGGACTAGCATTAGCCTGTGCAAGATTAGGTTTTACTTCAGTGTGTTATCTCTGCTTCAGAGTAGTACTGGCACGGCCGAACACCACCACCACTCCCAAAGGCCAAGAGGTGGAAGAGAGGAAAACCCCAGAACGCATTAACCAAGCAGGAAATGGGGAAAAAGTTACTGCACCATCATTGTCCCTTCACCCAGACACTGCCTGCGCTACCCAGCAGCGAGTGCTCACTGTACCTTCTCAGACAATGGATTTTTCTTTGGCTAAGGGTGCACTAAAGAAAAGTTCAACCCCTTTTGAAGTATCCTCAGTGGACACCCCCTTGGCAAAGGGCCTGGCACCTGGAACCACATATGGAGCAGTGCTTCAGTACCACAGGGACGTCAGCTGCTTAGGGTTAGTGGCGTAGGCACTGCAAAGTGTTTGTCTGCAGCCCTTAACAGCAAAGGTCTCATTTCCTCAATTCCATAAAAACCAGACAGCAACTGTTCATCGTTAGAGAAACCTTTTGAGACAGGGGTACAAGCCCTTGGTTAGTTTTGCAGAGCAGTTCGTTACGTAGCAGTTCAGAACACCAAGCCTGTTATTCCTCTCCAAAGCCGAGTACCACCACATTCAGCCTCTGAATACTCACTGTAGCTGGTTCAATAGATGAAGGTGACTCAGTAGTTACACAGGGGGCTTCAGATTCTTTGGGAGAGGGTTGCTTTTTTTTTTTTTGGACAGCAAATAAGGATAATGGCAGGGTATA